CAAACCTGGTTGTATCCATCTCAGAGGAAGGAAACCTGGTGGTATCCATCTCAGAGGAAGCAAACCTGGTGATATCCATCTCAGAGGAAGCAAACCTGGTGGTATCCATCTAGGAGGAATCAAACCTGGTTGTATCCATCTCAGAGGAAGGAAACCTGGTGTACAAATGAATATGAAGCAGACTCTCTGTCATGGTGGACTCTGTCACGTTACAACAGGTCTTGACAAATGGCAGTTTCATACACTTCAGTCATAAGTTATTACTGTCCAGGAAATGACCACTGAATTTAAGTGATATTAACTTCTGATGAAACTTCTTTGAAAGTAGATATCAAGTCACAAACATTTGTATGTCACCATTCACCATTTATTGACAATCCTGTGAGTTACGCATGTCTTATGTCTTATCTCTGACAGGAATAAGTTAATAATTTGAATTTTGTTTTGTTAACACAAAACATCTCCATGACTAAAACTTCATATTTTACAAGAAAAGTCATTAACCATCCTGGTATACTGAGTCCACAGTTCTTCCATATTCAACATTACATCATTAACAAAACAGGCACAAAATCTCCTGCTTCATTTGAAAAGAAAACTCTTCACCTTGCATGCTTTCTGCTACACTGACCACAAATACAAGGGTCTTCAATATTTATAAGTATTTACACTCTGACAATAGTTTGTCATAAACTACATATATGTCTCCAGTTTTACTAAACAATAAATAGTTTTATATAAACATTCTACTATTACATCATATCCTGTGTCATGTCAATATCACACAGCACTTTGTCACCGTGTCATTGTCACAGAGTACAATATCAGCTACAAATACATATCCTCTCTGCCAGTTTCCTTCAACTGTATGCCCAGGTAGTGGCCATGCCGTATCTTGTCATGCCAGGTGTAATGCCAGGTGTCATGCCAGGTGTTATGCCTTAGCAGGGACAACCCCAGGCCCTGAGGGTTTAGCTACCTCTTCCAGCTGTTTACCCAAATATTCCCTGCAGAATAAGAAAGAAAACCTCAGCTCTTGACAAACAACAGCAGTATCATGAACCTCAACACTCCCTGCACAACTGAAAAGAAATTATGAACTCTTCTCAGACAACAACAATATCACAAACTTTAAGGCTAACCCATGAATAATGTGGAATATTTACGGTAATGTGCCATGAATTTCGAACAGTAGAAAANAAGCAAACCTGGTGGTATCCATCTCAGGGGATGTCAGTCAATTAAAACAAAGCATTTACTTATCACACATCCTTCATCATGAAGTCTGGGCGATGTATGACAGCACACGTTAATGGTTTCTGGTGTAATAAAACTGAGGGCCCGTGTAACAGAAAGTCCGCCCTCCATATAGTTATTATGGTTAGGGTTAGCCTGCCCTAAGTGGGTCAAATCTAGGTCAAGGTTCAACTGTACAAATGAATGGGAAGCAGACTCTATCATGGTGGACTCTGTCACATAATACAACAGGTCTTGACAAATGGCAGTTTCATACACTTTTGTCATAAGTTATTACTGTCCAGGAAATGACCACTGGATTTAAGTGACATCAACTTTGATGAAACTTCTTTGAAAGTAGATATCAAGTCACAAACAAATATTTGTACGTCACCATTCACCATTTATTGACAATGTCGTGAGTTACACACATCTTATGTTTTATCTCTCATAGGAATAAGTTAATAATTTGAATTTTGTTTTGTTAACACAAAACATTTCCATGACTAAAACTTCATATTTTTCAAGAGAAGTCATTGACCATCCTGGTATACTGAGTCCACAGTTCTTCCATATTCAACATTACATCATTAACACAACAGGCACAAAATCTCCTGTTTCATTTGAAAACAAAACTCTTCACCTTTCATGCTTTCTGATTCACTGACCACAAATACAAGGGTCTTCAATATTTATAAGTATTTACACTCTGACAATAGTTTGTCATAAACTACATTTATGTCTCCAGTTTTACTAAACAATAAATAGTTTTATATAAACATTCCACTATTACATCATATCCTGTGTCATGTCAATATCACACAGCACTTTGTCACCGTGTCATTGTCACAGAGTACAATATCAGCTACAAATACATATCCTCTCTGCCCGTTTCCTTCAACTGTATGCCCAGGTAGTGGCCATGCTGTATCTTGTCATGCCAGGTGTAATGCCAGGTGTCATGCCAGGTGTTATGCCTTAGCAGGGACAACCCCAGGCCCTGAGGGTTTAGCTACCTCTTCCAGCTGTTTACCCAAATATTCCCTGCAGAATAAGAAAGAAAACCTCAGCTCTTGACAAACAACAGCAGTATCATGAACCTCAACACTCCCTGCACAACTGAAAAGAAATTATGAACTCTTCTCAGACAACAACAATATCACAAACTTTAAGGCTAACCCATGAATAATGTGGAATATTTACGTAAGTTTGTCTAAAAGCAACTCATAATGTAGTTGTTGGTCAAAGTTGAAGGTATGTCAAGATCTTCCTGAAAAATTCTGACCAATTTCCAGAAACTGTGATAACCCCCTGAATCCTCTCCCTGATTAGGGAATAGATTAAAGAAAACAAAAGCTCTTCTTACCAGTTGTGGACCATAAGTTTCTGCACTGCTAACAAAGCTTCATATCTGACGTTGGGGTCATCATGGGTGAGATGCTGCATCACAAGCTGCTTGCCTCCAAGTTGCTCTATAACACTGAAAATATAACAATATATCACAATATATCATTTATGGAATAATGGAAATATAACTCTATATCACAATATATCAATTATGTAACTGGATATATCACAATATATCACTTATATAATACCAGAAATATAACAATATATCATTTATATAACACTGGAAATATTACAATATATCACAATATATCATTTATGGAATAATGGAAATATAACTATATATCACAATATATCAATTATGTAACTGGAAATATAACAATATATCACTTATATAATACCAGAAATATAACAATATATCACAATATATCATTTATATAACACTGGAAATATAACAATATATCACACTATATTATTTATAAAACACTGGTAATATAACATCACTACTGTACTCCAGGTAACATAGAGGCATGCCACAAAAACAAATACTGTAATATAGCCAGCTTCATACTAACAAAGTATGGAGAACTGCTAGTATTTAAAATGTTAAAAAATATATATAAACTTGGTGTGTACCATTATGTAACATAAAATAGTGCTCATGTTGCAAGATACTAACAGATCATGTAATTTTTTATTCAAGATGAACCCCTATTTCAACCCAGTACAAGTTACGTAGAGATCTTGTTGTAAAAAACTCACTGTTTTCCTCTAGGGTAATGTCGAACATACTCCCCGATGTCGTGAGCGGCCACTGACAGCACCAGAGGATCTTTGCTGGTCTCCAAATACTTGATTAACATCCTGAGAATATAGCAAGTGCATAAGAATAAATATAGTTTAAGTTACAAAAACAGTGTCAAATGTTCAAATGGCATTTTCTCTCCAGAACCTCTCAGACTTGTGAACTGAACTCACTAACACAGACATCCCATACTTACTTGAGTAATTCATAATTCTTTTCATTCAATCTGATGGCATTTTCTCTCCAGAATCTCTCAGACTTGTGGACTGGACTCCACTCCATGCGGCCTGACTTTACCTCAGACTGGTACTCATCAAAGGAACTGAGGAAGAGAACAAAGTTTCATTCTGTGTAATGATCCTATATATAAATTGACATACTTCATTTCTTGGCAACCCAAAATTATCCAACCGTCAGTCCAAAATGACAGGCATCGAATTTCGAGGCCGACCAGCGCCCTTTGGTGTGGGGTTCGGGGCCTGCTTAAGGGCCTGCAAATTTTTTTGGTGTTTTGGAGAGCAAACAGTGCCCTTTGGTACAGTTTAGAACTATCATTAAGCTAGTCAAAATTCCAATGTGAAGGGGGAATATTGCTGTGATATATTTTTTAGAAACCGAGGGGGGGGGGGGGGTTTCATGACTCCCCCTTCTCTAAATCTGCCACTGGTCTATTTAATGTCTTGTAAGACCCCATCCTTCACCACTGAGTAAAACTTGCACACAGATGCCTTAAACTTCATATAAAATATCTTTATTCAAAATGTCCACCAAATCCAAGATGGCAGCCATACCTAAGATCTTGCACACTGGCCTGAAGTTTTTCAGAGAGAAATTGCACATCATCCTCCAGGTCCGGGTCATCAAACTTTCTGCCTTCCATCAACTGAAGTTGCTTCAGTACCTTGCACTGCACCATGGAGAGGCTGTGGTCCTGGATGATTTCCCGGTCCTGGGGCTTCTCTAACAGGTTCTGGAACAATATCATAACTAACTGAGAGACATTCCCAGAGTTCCAACTTTGGATCGATCTATCTCCAAGGGGATTCTCGCTAAATTGCAATTAACTTAAACGGTTTAAATGTCTGTCACTCCTACTAAAGCTGTTAGAGGGTAATTAACTACCCGAGACAGAGCGTGAACGAAAGTTAATTACCCCCTAGCTGATTCAGTAGGCGTGACAGCCGCTTAAGTGGATAGCAATTTAGAGCGACTCCCTATGGAATTGGACTGATCCTCTTGGATTGATAGTCAGCACTGACACATCTTGAATTGTGTATCAGCCATAGGACCTCAAACTACAGTATTTACTGAGATATGCACTGTCTTCCTTTCATAGCTTTTTGTCAGACATGAAGATAACTGAACTAGTCAAAGGTCACCTCTACAAATATGCATTAGTGAGTAAAAACAAATGCTTTAACTTAACACACACACACACACACACACACACACACACACACACACACCAGTGTTATATAAAACACAAAGGACTCACCCTAAATGTGGCCAAAATGATCCGGGTCACCTTCTCCTTCACTGACTCTCCCAGTATGTCAGCCAAGATGGGGATGACATTGTATCTAAATGTATAAATATATGTCGAAGTATATCTAAATGCAAATAGGCTGTAATTCAGTAGAATGTGAACATACTGTACAAATAACATTGTATAACATTATGAAGAGCAATGTATAGACATGTACAAACAAGTTGATATAAATGCTGAGCACACAGCTGCTACACTGAGGTACTGTACTCACTTGTTCATCTTCTCAGCCAGCTCAGGGTTGAAGGTCATACACCACAGACAGAAGGTCAACTGGTACTGAATCTGGAAACCAACCTTGCCAGGGAGAACTTGGATAATCCTGGGATAGAACACAATATGTTACTTAATAACCAACATGGCCAGGGAGAACTTGGATAATCCTGGGATAGAACACAATATGTTACTTAATAACCAACCTTGCCAGGGAGAACTTGGATAATCCTGGGAAAGATCACAATATGTTACATAATAACCAACCTTGCCAGGGAGAACTTGGATAATCCTGGGACAGATCAGGGGAAGAAGGATGTCACAATATGTCACTTCCTAGATCATTTTAACTATATGGCTACTACACTTTATGATCTCACACACTCCCAACAGGGGCAGATTTAGGGCGTCTTCTGGGTCTTCCGGAAGACGGTCAGATTTTCAAGTTTACATTGACGGGTATCTAATATTTTCTGTCGGAAGACAGTCAAAAATAGAGGATGGATTAACAAAGATAATTTGGAAGACTGTCAGAAAATATCTCTGGATCAACCGCTGCCCAAGATACTAGTACTTCAAATATTCTTAACATCTAAAATTAAGTGTGCCTGTACTTATATACTAATACATTTCATATTGACAAAAGCATGCCAGTACTCACATACTTATGCCCTCCACATTGACAAAATCATGCCTGTACTTACATACTTATGCCGTCCACATTAACAAAAGCATGCCTGTACTCGTCGATTCTTAGCATCATCTGCAGACAGCGACAGACGGTTTGTAAGTATTCATTGCTCTGGAAAATAAAGGAATAATTACACAACTGAGAATAAGTTTTAGGTAACAGACTGAAATCAAATGCCAAAAAAGGATATTCCACATTAAAATATGTATTTTTCAGATATTTCATGATTTTCATAACTTAAAATTGAAGTAGCAAGTTTGACCTGGTTCTGCTAAGTAAATCTTTGATCCAGATTTAATCCAATGTCTTCAATGATGGCTGGTTTTCATATCAGTAAAACTTAAAACACAATATCTTTTCCAATCCTAAAGTACAGAAGCATCCCTACACCATGGACTAAATATTTTCTAGGTAAGTATAATGAAGAATACCGTGAGTAATAAAGCATGCAGGCATTCAATAAAACATCCTGTCCACCAGTTCTTATGCTGGTTATGAGGAAACCAGGCCAGTTGCACTGATTAGAGGCAGAATTATGTTATAAAAACACATGCAAATGACAACTGATTAAAACTAGAGGATCAGAGAGGCGATACCGCCTCCGAATATTGTACCACCAGCTGGAGCAAGCGCATTCGTATAGACCCCCACATACACAAAATAAGGGGTGCAGCCACCAGTCTTGTGCTTGACAAGCTGTAAAAATGCAATCAACAAGAATTTTCAAAATATGCAAAAAATATATATAACTAAAAATGGTGCAATCAAAGTTAAGTTCATTGTAAGGTAGGTCAAAGGTCAATTTCAAGGTCACAGTAAATTGCCAGTATATGACTTCCTATCCAACTTCAATAGTAACTATGGACCTATCTCTGCCAGTTTTGGAGATAAAAGGGAAGCAAAATTTGCAAAGTTCAGTTCATGGTGAAAAGTAGGTCAAAGGTCAATTTCAAGGTCACA